AATTAAGTCAATGAAGTGGAAGGGTGAGATCCTAATCCAATAAGACTGGTACCTTTATGAGAATACAGAGATACCAGGGACCCATGCACACAGACAAAAGGCCATGTTAGGATTCAGTGAGAAAGTGGATGGCTATTTGCAAGCCAAGGAGAGGTGCCTCAGTAAAAATAAAATCTGTCAACCCTTTGATTTGGACATCTAATCTCCAGAACTGTGAGAAAGTAAATTTATATTATTTAAGCCACCCAGCCTGTATTGTTTTCTTATGAAAGCAATAGCAGACTAATACAACTTCCATGAGGAGGTGGCCTCTGGGCCAAACCTGAAGGATATATAGGAGTTAATCACTTCAAGTAGCGTAAGGTAACAGTATGTGCAAGGACCCTATGTTTGAAAAGCACATAGTGTGTTTGAAATTCCGAACGCCTGTTGGCTGCAATTCTGAGAACAAAGATAAGAACCATACATGGAAAGATGGGCGAGGTTGAGGGAAAGCAAATCATACAAGGTCTGGTAGGCTCTCTGAAGGATTTTGGCTTTTATCTTAAAGGGGCTGATGTGATTTTTTAAAAAAAAGATTTAGCATTTTTAAACATCATCTGGCTATGGAAAATTAGAGTAGGGAAAGAATGAGTGCCGGGAGACCCACTCTAAAGTCCCTGGAAAGGAAATAGACTGAACTGGAAAGAAAGTGATGAAGATGGAGAGAAGTAGATACTTGCAGATGAAGCTGCCAGGACAGGGATTCCTCCTGCATCTTTGAGTCTTGCAGATGGAAGGAAGATGATACCACTCTTGAGATGGGGAACACTAAATTCATACTTTTATCTCCAAACCTAATCAGTTCCATTTTGAACGTGTTGAATTCTAGATGCTTCTAAAATATCCAAGTAGAGAATGAGTAAGTGGATAAATCTGAAGCTTAGAGAACAGATGAAAGCTGGAGTTATAGACTTGGGTTCACCAGCATATATATAGTAGTTGAAACCTGCTAGAGTCTCAGTCCTCTAGTGACAGGGATTTTATTTGTTTTGTTCACAAATTTATCCCAGGTGCGTGGAACAGTGCTGACATATGGGAGGCACTCAATACATATGTGTTGAATGAATTAATGAATAGATTACCCAGGGAGAGCATTTCATATGAAAAGAGAAACAGGTCTGGAATGAAACCTTGAAGAACAGAAACATTCAGGCTGGGTAGAACTTCCAGAGACACAACAAAGGAACAGTCAAAAGAAAATCAGTAAAGTCTGAGGTACATGTAGCTAGAGGAAGAGAGCGTTTCAAGAAGAAAGGTGAGTTCATCCTCTGCAGTGAGTGGCATGCAGCAGCAAGCCTAGCCCATAAATGAACACTTGAATCCTAACGGCTTTAAAGTACTTGAATTTATTTATCACTGTTGTCAATCTTTGAATCAAAGAAGATTTGATTTCTTATTTGCAAGATTTACCTCAGATAATAACAGTCTCTTGGAACCACATCTCTGACACATTCCCAGGATAGGTGTGTATATAATTTCATCATCATTCTTTGCATTAATTTATGATTATAACGACATTTGCAAATAATGTATTTCAAGTGATAGAACGCCATTAGATTTTCTTGACAAGTGCACTTGAAGTTTTCTCTCTGGATGAAAGCTCAACCACTTTTTGCCTTATTATCTCCTCCCCTCCATCTTTTTATTTCACTCTGTTCTTCCCTACACTCTGTATAACAAAGACTTTATTAGCTTCATGAATGATGAGTCATAATTAAGACTTGAATAAAATGGTAAAAAAAAATTATTTCACCATCTGTATACCATCCACAAAAAATATAGACAGATTAATTAATTAATTACCAAAGTTGTGAGTATAATTTGTGTAATCCTAGTTTTTCTCATATAGGTTCTCCACCTTGCAGAAGAGCTATATGGAACTCTCTGGGGGCATTTCTCATTCTCATGAGCATAGTTTTCTTATAGCTAAATTGAGGTCTGTGACCTCAACTTAGATCAAGATCAAGAATATTCAGCAGAAAATCCTGCCTCTCCATTTCATCTGAATGGCTTCTTCCTTGACGTAGATAACCCACTTGACTTTTATATGTCATTATCTGCAATGGAAAGAATAAGGAGAAAAGTCATTCAGTAGTCCTTGGTTTCGATCTCAACTGTAGACTATAAATATTTAGTTTAAAGAATACTTCTTTTTCTTCCTCCTTGCTTTATTTTTCTTCAATACACTTATCCTACTTGAAATTTTATTATATATTTATTACTTTATTTGGTCTTGGGTTATCTTCCAAGGGAAAATAAGAACAAGACAAGAACATTGTCTCTCTCATGTTTGCTGCATCCTCACACTCAAAACTATACCTGACATATTGTAGGAGCTCAGTTATATTTACAGGATAAATAAATAAATAGATGCTTAAAACCTGATAGTGGAAAGTAGATATAAAATGCTGGTTGAGTTGGCTATTTAGTATGAAATGCAATTCTTGATATCAAGTCACACATTTGAAATTCAGGCAAACATTTTGGCTTCGGATCTAACATCTTTGGCCAACTTCTCCTAAGTGCCAGCCCCACATTGGATGTTTCCACATGAAGATCCAAAAGGTGCTTTGAACTCAAGGTATCCCACTGAAACACCCTCCTTCTCTGTTTCCTGCCCCCCTCTCTACAACCCTCACATCTCCACCTCCTTAAGGCTTTCTTGTCACCTGCTACCTGCTCCTCTGAGTTATAAAATGCCTCACCTTCCGATACCCAACGTCTCAACCATGTGTCCCCTGTCATGGTTCATTGTATAACTCCCTTCTCCAGACAGTTGCAAGGCCTCCTAAGGACTTCTGGTACCTCTAGTTTCCTTTTTTGTTTCCAGTTGATATTCCATATTCCAGATATTCCACACTTAGCAGTGTGAATATTAATTAATCAATAAAAAACATTAAGTTTTTTGTGCATCCATTCTAGGTTCAAGGAATAGTCTAAGGCCAAGTAGAGCTCTTTGTCTTAAACGAGGGCATAAAGACTATATATGCTCATGTCACTGTCCCTATCAAAAATGTTCAAAGAAACTTTCCCATTTACAGTGAGTAAAACTTAATCCCTTAAAATGATTTTCCCAAACTCTCTTGCCTTACTAGTTTTATATCAGATCCTTTCTATGACTCTAAACACAAACACTCTACATAGCTCGTGTGTTGTTTCCAGAAGGGTCATGCACCTCATCCTGAGTTGTGACTTTCTTCAACTCATCCCTCTAACTGGAATGGATTCCTCTTTCCCCTTACACACGTGATAAAATCCCATTCATTCTACATGCCTAACTCAAATATTTGCTCACAGCTTTCATTCATTCCTCTGTAAGAGCACTTATATCTGCTGTGGAGTAGGTTCTGAGCACCTTAGAGACATATGCTCCTGGTGAGTTCATTTTTTAAAGGCCTCTTATTACTAAGCCTTAATTTCCCTACATATTTGAGATTTCAAGTTCATATCAAATAATGTCTTTCTAAAGTATCCCTAAACTCCCTCCGATCATGCTAGACATGTTCTGCAATGCTACAATAACTGCTATGCTCTATTTCTCTGCAGTTCTCCATCCTTGAGCTGTAGCAACAAGGAAATTTTTATAGCTCATTTGGTAAGAAGACTCACACTATCTTTGGAGTTCAAAATGGAAATGGATCCTCCACTGCACTGAATGGATCCTCATAGAATGTCCTGTGCAAGATGGCTAAATACTCTGCTTTCCCCTTTTTTTTTTTTTTTTTTTTGTGCTAATGTAGCTCAGGAGCACTTGCTTGTGTATTTTATGCCTAATGATTGTGTGGTTACAAAAGGACATAAAAATCTCTTTTTGTCATAAATATAGATAGCGGTAACCTCGGGTATTATTTAGTAGCTAGGGTGATTTCACTAATGACCATCAGACTCAGAGCTTAATTGTCAACTGATATATGTCAGAACTCCATATACTGTCTAATTTCCATCAGTTTCTAAATGGTGACTGCTAATGTCAAGGCAGTTCTAAAAACAGCAAAAACTTGATTTCCCCTTAATATCCTGAGAATCATATTCATGGGCACCAGGGAGTCTGGGCAATAAATCTGATGGATTTTTGCCATCATATTTAGAGTAAACAAATTAATGCTAGAAACAGTTTTCTAACAGGAGATAATAAAGGAAATGGGCAAACAAAAATAAATGTTACAAAGAGGAAAAATACGGTCTCTGTGAGCAAATTAATTGCTTTTGTAAATTAGATGGAACTTTTTAAACCTAGGCAAGAGTTTTAAAATTACACAATTTAGCTAAATAATGTAGTATTTGCTCCTATCAGCAAATAATTGTCTTTCTATTGGCCAAAATTGATGTTTAAATATGTCTTATGAAAAAGAAGTAGTTGCCAAATTATTTACTAGTGAATATTTCTTTAATTGGACTGAGGTAAGTGAGAGTGTGATTCATCCCTAAAATGGCCAATTTCAGGCAGGTCATTGCAGGGTGGGTGTGAAGATTAACTCCCATCTCTGTAACTACCAGTGAGATCATTAAGGAACACATGTGGTGTTTGTAGCACACAAACTGGACAGTATCTGGGTGTGTTCAGAGTACAACTAAGTTCTCCCAACCTGTCCCAAATCCTCAGGCCAAATCCCTTGAGGCTCTGGCTTTCACCTTGCAGATTTTGGCTGTTAACCACAGTTACAGTCTTGTACACTGCAGGTTTTCAGAAAATGTTTGTGCTTTGATTATTACAAAGGCTTTCTTGCTACAGAGGTTTAGATAAGATCCTGAAGCATAGGATAAAATGGGTAATGAGTAGAAAAAGCCAACTGTAAGTTTTGCTGAGAGCAATTCCCGCCTTCTCATGGTGGTGAGCCTCATTGGTATCTCACTAAAATGTGAGGAGGGTGGGCCCTCTTCTTGGCCGGAGATATACTTGCTTAATAGTGTATGTAATTTACTTTTTTTTTTTTTCTAAATAAAAGTTGTATATACTTGTGCTCACTTGGCAGTATATGTACTAAGATTAGACTGATATAGAAAAGTTAGCATCGTTCCCACACAAGGTTGACATGTAAATTTGTGAAGCGCTCCATAGTTTTATAGGAAATGTAGTTGATAATATCTAACAACTATGGTGACAGATGGTAGCTAGATTTATCTCGGTGATCATTTTGTAATGTATATAAATGTTGAATCACTATGTTGTACTCCTGAAACTAATATTATATGTCAACTACACTTCAGTTTAAAAAAGAGATTCACAAACAATAGGTGTTCAGGAGTTCCCTTCCTTAAAATTCTGTGACTCACATTTTGTGAAGTTGAACCAAACAATTTGAGAGTAAAGTGTCTAACTTATTCCTCTCAAGTAATTCACATAAAATATAATATTGCTAAATAAATTCTGTGTTCAGACCAAAAAATATATATATTTAAGATGTATAACATTGTATTTTGATGTACATATATATAGTGAAATGAATACTATGGTTAAGATAACTATCCATCTCCTCACATAATTACCTTTTCTGTGTGTGTGTTTGTGTGTGTGTGTGGTGAGAGTACCTAAGATTTACTGTCAACACATTTCTAGTATACAATGCTGTGTTGTTAATTATAGGCGCCATACAATACATTAGATCTCTAGAACTTCTTCACCCTGCAGAACTGCTTCTTTTCAAATATAGACATGTCTAAATTAGAAAAGAGAAATCAGGGGCGCCTGGGTGGCTTAGTCGGTTGAGGGTCCGACTTTCGCTTAGGTCATGATCTCGCGGTTCGTGGGTTCGAGCCCCGCGTCGGGCTCTCTGCTGACTGCCAGCTCAGAGCCTGGAGCCTGTTTCAGTCTGTGACTCCCTCTCTCTCTGACCCTGCCCTGCTCACGCTGTCTCTCTCTCTCTCTCTCCTAGAAATAAATAAAAATATTTAAAAAAAAAAAAAAAGAAAAGGGAAATCAATTATAAGATGACATTTATAAAACATCTTTAAAACATCTTAAAAATAATATTTGGTTTATGCTATTGTATTTTAATGATAATTAGATAATCTAATGCTGTGAAATTCTAATGATATCTCATACGCAGTTCTTAAAAAGAATAATTGTTTCACAGTATCTGAATATCCTAATATTGTCTCAGTTTTTCAAGTCTTGAGAAATCTTATATCTAAAAATAATTTTCCTCCATAGCATATATCGAAATTCAGAAGTTCAAGATTGATGTTTGCGGCATAATTACTTTTATATTGTTATATGTAAAATCATGAAAATATGTTTGAGACCATAATTAAGCACCTATTTCAAGTCACTAAGAACTCTTGTACAGTTAAGGATGAAATACAGTGAGAGAACCGTTGACTTGTAACATGAGAGTCCATGCCCAGAAACATTACGTGTATCGTAGAAAAAATAATGCAGTGGATTTTATTTTTTTTAAGTTTTGAAAAATAGATCATTTTCACATAGAAAGTATGTCATATGAGTTGTAACAGATTAAAAGATAGCTGATAATCTCATTTTACTATTCTCACACCGTAGTGTTCAAATTTAAATCTTTTGCTGTCTTAAACTTTCTATATCCTTTCTGACCTTTTATTTAATGCAAACATTTTTATAAAATATGTACACAAATTTAAAGAGAGTATAATAGCATATTTATAATAATTTATGATGATAATTGTATGAATGTCATCTCATAAATGAAACCTCTACTCTAAAGAAAACTCAAATGAAATAAAACATCAAGAAGTCTTGAGGCACCTGGGTGGCTCATTTGGTCAAGTGTCTGACTCTTGGTCTTAGCTCAGGTCTTGATCTCAGCATCGTGAATTCAAGCTCTATGTTAGGCTCGGTGGAGCCTACTTAAAAAAAAAAAAAAAAAAAAAAGGATTAATAAACCTTAATGTCTAGGGTCTTACACAGACAAATAGATAACAAAACACATATGTCTACCTAGAAATTAAAACAAGTAATATAAAGAATGGTGTAGAGGGTGGGGTGATCTGAGTTGAATTTAAAGAACTAGATCTGATCGAACACAGGCCAATTCTTCTTTTCCTATAGACCCTCTTGGGGACATAGATCCCATTATATTTAAAACTTGAATACATTTTATTGGCTCATGGATTACTTTAGCTCTGTTATTAAAATTGTTTCACTTCGAAATATATCATTTTGAAAGATTTGCAGCAATGTTTTATGTCTGATTTCTTTAGAAAAAAATAATGAGGTCTTAAATACATTTTTAAAGGATAAGATATTGAGACTCAAAAATACATTTCAATAAGACAATGTGAATTGATCTTAATAGTTACCATAATAAATTTTCCACTTACTCAAATGATATTGCTATTGTTCAAAATTATTTTAGGCTCTTATTTTGGTTTTGCCTTTATAACCAAATTATGAGCCACATAAAAAAATTTCCAATATGTTATAGTTGCATCTTGTTCTTAACCCCAATGCCATTGCCCACCTTAATTATTTATATTGTTTATCATAAGGGACTCCAAATATCCTTTTATAGCCTCCCACAATAAAATTCATTCTTTGAGTAAATTTAAAAGAATCAGATGCCGTTCTGAAGGAAATTAAAAATTTTGAAATACTTAAAAAACTTTCATGAGAATAAATGAATGTATAACCTTAAAAAGTAACTGTTTTATAAAGGAAGCCAATTATTTGGGTGTATAAGATATGGTATGTGTGTGTAGTCATATATGTTTATTCATTTATTTACTTATGAATGTACTACCATAATAGTATGAAAAACTATTCTTAGCATCAAGGAGGCATTTTAAATGTTTCTCATTTTGTTTTAAGGGTTTTTTGGCTTAGTAGACTATTCATTTAGCTTTTTTGCAAAACCAAATGCCGTGGGTGAAAACCTGCTTTAATTGTTGGTCTTTAATTGTCATCTCAACAGTTTTACTTCAAGCGAATTAATTCTCGGCACCACATTTTGTGAAGGCCGGGTCTGTAGCCGCAAGATTAACTTTATATTCACGTTTGTATGGCATAAACAAGACCACATCTGTTTGGTTCACTGTTATATGGCTGTCATAATACTCAGTATATAGTAGGTGTTCAATTACGGTCTCTTGAGTGGATGTCAGATGTCAGACACACACCTTGTCATTTTTAGGTTTTCTAAAAGTGTTATTTGAGAGACATGTTCAACTTTGATGAGATGAGATAAAATTATACTTTAACAAAAGCAATCTTTAGAGATTGCAGGGATGCTTATTCGTAAAACATAGAAACCTCTTGTTCTTTAGCCACTTTTTCCCCAGTGCCACGTCAAAGCAGCAATTTAAATTCATTTATGCATTTAATCTATACAATGTTTATTAAACACCTAGTATAAGCCAAAGAGTGTTATAGAGACCAGGAAAATAGCTATAAACAAAATAGAGCTCCAATGGGGTTTGCATTTTAGTGGGGGCAAACGATGATTCTTGAAGATATTGTATTTGTGAGTATTGTTTCTGATTATTGACAAACTATGAGTAATGATCCCAATGCAGTGGGGTCTCACTGGCATAATTTGGTGAGCTTCGTAAACTGTATCACAAAAGAGAGTGCTTTCTACCCAGTCTGAGCAAATCTAGACAACCCGGATGCCTAACACCTCATGTTCTTTCACCACTGTTGTAAATGGTTTTGCTTACGAGGAGTGGTTGACCACTTTCAATTTCTCAGGAGTTACCAAACAATGTCTTTATTGTAAGATCATTCTTGGATGACATACGCTTTTAGAAAATAATACATGTGAAGCGTTAGTAGAGGAACACTTTTTTTGATACAATCTCTAATAAAGGCTACAGGCTTTGGGCTTTTAATCTTAGCATTAGCCAAGTATTTAAAGAGTAGTTAACACAGCATCACCTAAGTCCCTACTTAGAATCCATTTCCATGAGGCTACCCCTAGATGTTTTAATGTGCATTTAAACCACAGAAATAAGAAATGGGTGAATATTTCTGTTTATGCATTCATGAATGAGTTTCTGAATTTCTCTAAAACAATGAAAAATATTTCTAGTACTAAGGAGGTGTTTGAAAAATTATGTTTTAAAAGTCATTTGTTTAGTAGATATTCACTCAGCTGTGGCAGTACAGTAGTAACAACAGTAGCTAGAATCCTGCCTTGCAGTCTTCCCTACCGTGACCTCACATGACTCTTTTCTTCCCAAACGTCACACTGCCAATCATTAGCTGTAAATCTCTAGAGGGCAAAGACTGTATTTTATATGTGTACCCCCTCCAACTCCTACAGCCACCCCAGAACATACACAGTGTCTCATGCATGGCGTATTCGTATATTTTTACAAATTGGTTTTGGTTAAGAGCTATAAAGAACCCTCTCTTCTTCCTTGCTTTACATTGCTACAAATTTTCCTTGAGTAGCTTTCCTGAGAAACTGAGGTTGCCCAGGCAGCAAGCATTTACTTTTTTTTCCCCTAAATTCCTTTTGATAACCAGTATCTTATAAAAGAGTTCCTCTGAACTGATCTCTAAGAGAGTCTGAATAGTTATGTCACAGACGTGGGCCTCATCCTTTGCTGGTCTGCCTACTCTGTTTGCCACTTTTCCATCAGCAGTTGGTGGCATTCAGCAGCAGCTGCCTTATCTTCATCTTGCTTTTCACTTGAAGATTTGGGAGCTAAGCCAGGTCTCGAGATTGTTCCCTTCTGCTCCATCTTATGGTCTTATTTGAAATCCTTTCACATACTTGGGGGGTGCCCAGGCAAGGAAGGACAAAAAAAAAATGAGTTTCTCCCCACTCCCCAGCATAAGTCCCATTTTAGGCCTGCTTTTGCAATTACTAGTATTTCATCAGTTGTTCTTTTTGTATTGAAATGTAAAAATATTTGGGATACCTGGATGGCTCAGTAGGTTAAGTGTACGAATTTGGCTTGGATCTCACAGTTCATGAGTTCAAGCCCCGCGTCAGGCTTTGTGCTCTCAACTGGGAGACTGGAGCCTGCTTCAACTTCTGTGTTTCTCTCTTTCTCTGCCCCTTTCCCGCTCATGCTCTGTGTCTCTTTAAAAAATTTAAAATGCAAAAATATTCTAGCTTTGTTTTCTAAAAATAACTTATAA